GATCATCTTCTTTCTCTAATGATTTTAATCAAACCTAAAAGCTTCCGCGCTTCGCGCGGGAGGGGGGGGGGGAAAACTAAATTCAGAGGAGAAATATTTTTCGAGAACGGTACAACGAATCGTCTTCTTTCTCTAATGATTTAATGAAACTTTAAAGCTTCCGCGCTTTGCGCAGGAGGAGGGAACCTGAATTCAGACGAGGATTAAGAGTCGAGAACTCTACAGCGAATCGTCTTGTATCTCTAATGATTTAATGAAACGTTAAAGCTTCCGCGCTTCGCGCACGAGGGGAGGGGGGGAACTGAATTCAGACAAGGATTAAGAGTCGAGAACGGTACAGCGAATCATCTTCTGTCTCTCATAATCTTATGAAACGTCAAAAATTCCGCGCTTCGCGCGGGAGTTTGGGGGGGGGGGAACTAAATTCAGACGAGGATTATTTTCGAGAACGGTATAACAAATCGTCTTCTTTCTCTAATGCTTTTAATGAAACTTAAAAGCTTCGCGCGGGAGGGGGCCTGAATTCAGACGAGGATTTAGAGTCGAGAACTGTACGACGAATCGTTTTTTTTCTCTAATGGTTTAATGAATCACAAAAGCTTCCGCGCTTTGCGCGGGAGGGGGGGGGGAACCTGAATTCAGACGAGGATTTAGAGTCGAGAACTGTACGACGAATCGTCTTTTTTCTCTAATGGTTTAATGAATCGTAAAAGCTCCCGCGCTTTGCGCGGGCGGGGAAAAAACTGAATTTAGACGAGGATTATTTTCGAAAACGGTATAACGAAACGTCTTCTTTCTCTAATAATTCAATGAAACGTCAAGAGGGAGGGGGAACTCGCCCCTCCCTGCACCCACCCCCCCTCCCCGCATTACGTCACTGCTGGTCACCATTACGTACCAATATTTGGCTCGCATAATTTCACATTTGGGCCCCCCCCCTAAGAAATCCTGGATCCGCGCCTGCAAGGTCTTGCGCGCGAAGCGCGGAAGCTTAGACGTTTCCTTTAATTATTAGGAAGACGATTTGTTACCGTTCTGGACTTTTAATCCTTGTCTGGATTCAGTTTCCCCCCTCCTGTGCGAAACGCGGAAGTTTTTACGTTTCATTGAATTATTATAGAAAGTAGACGACTCGTTGTACCGATCGAAACTTTTAATCCTATTTCTCTGAATTCAGTTTCCCCCTCCCGAGCGAAGCGCGGAAGCTTTGATATTTCATTTAATTATTACAGAAAGAAGACGATTCGTTGTACCGTTCTTGACTACCAGTCCTTGTCTGAATTCAGTTTCCTCTAGTTAGGAGCGCTGGAAGCAGTTTGGGATTGGGGGGCAAACATTCCAGGGGGCTCACCTTCCAGGGGCAGTGACGTAATGGGAAAAAACGTTCTGAAGGGGGGGGGGGGGGCAGACGAAAAATCTGCATCACCACCCAGGCGCGTACGCAGGGGGGTGTTTGGGGGGTTAAACCCCCCTTTGGTAATTTTATGTGTGTAAACCCCCCCTAAAAAATCCCTAAACCCCCCCCCCCCCTTGACTACCAGTCCTTGTCTGAATTCAGTTTCCTCTAGTTAGGAGCGCTGGAAGCAGTTTGGGATTGGGGGGCAAACATTCCAGGGGGCTCACCTTCCAGGGGCAGTGACGTAATGGGAAAAAACGTTCTGAAGGGGGGGGGCAGACGAAAAATCTGCATCACCACCCAGGCGCGTACGCAGGGGGGTGTTTGGGGGTTAAACCCCCCCCTTTGGTAATTTACCCCCCCCCCCCTTGGTGGGGTCCAGGGGGCAGAGCCCCCGGAAGCTCAGGGGTTTTAGGTATTTAATTACAGTCAGATATGACCATCCAGGGGCCTGTCTTAGGGCCCTCGGTGGGGTCCAGGGGGCAGAGCCCCGGAAGCTCAGGGGTTTTGGGTATTTAATAACGGTCAGATGAGCATCCAGGGGCCTGCCTTAGGGCCCTTGGTAGGGTTCCAAGGGGTATAACCCCCGGAAGCTCGTTTTTTTTTTAGGTATTTAATTACGGTCAGATGAGCATCCAGGGGACCGCCTTAGGGCCATAGATGGGGTGGAGCCCCCGTAAGCTCTGGGGTTTTAGGCATTTAATTACGTTCAGATGAGCATTTTATATCTTATTTATGACATTGGCAGGTCACTTATTTTTTCTTTTTCTCTTTAACATCTTTTTCAAAAAGTGAGTGGGGGGGGGGGGAGGGGGCTCGAGCCAAGCCACTTTTCAGACCATGACATAAAGGCTTCGAAATAAGCGTATTTTTCGCCCGACTGTAATTTGGGAATTTCTTATTTTCTAACAAACGCATCAAAAGGTATTACAAAAAAAATGGAGAAAAAATACCGGAAAATAATGTCATATTAGCAACATTTGTAAAACACTGGTATCGAAAAAGAAATACCCCCCCCCCCCCCATCAGTACGCCAGCGTTCAGGGGCTCATGTCTTCTCACCTCTATCACAAAAAAACAGACACGCTTTCCCATTCTCGCACAATATGTCCACGATATGCGCGTATCGCTATTATAAAGACCTCCATTGATAAATACCGTATAGGTGGGATGCGCAATGTTTATGAAATTTTCTTTGAATGGAATTGTATATGTGATTTAATTAAGGTTGTTATTATTTTTATGTTCTTTTGGGTTAGAAATACAAACCATGTTTACTCCTTTACTGCTTTTTTTTTTTTTTTTTGGAAGGGGGGGGGGCGTTTTTTGGGGGGCAGAAATGCGTTTTGCCCCCCACTTTTTTTATTGGGGGGGGGGGCAACTGTCCCCATGCCCCCCCCCCCAACTTCCGGCGGCTATGCCTCTAGCTCCCGCGCGAAGCGTGGAAGCTTTGACATTACATTGAATTATTATAGAAAAAAGACGATTCGTTGTACCGTTCTCGACTATGAGTCCTTGTCTGAATTCAGTTTCCTCTAGCTCTCGCGCGAAGCGTGGAAGCTTTGACGTTTCATTGAATTATAATAGAAATTAGACGACTCGTTGTACCGGTCGCGACTTCTAATCCTATTTCTCTGAAATCAGTTTCCCCCTTCCCGCGCGAAGCGTGGAAGCTTTGACATTACATTTAATTATTATAGAAAAAAGACGATTCGTTGAACCGTTCTTGACTATCAGTCCTTGTCTGAATTCAGTTTCCTCTAGCTCTCGTGCGAAGCGTGGAAGCTTTGACTTTTCATTGAATTATTATAGAAAGTAGACGACACGTTGTACCGGTCGCGACTTTTAACCCTATAATTCTCTGAATTCAGTTTCCCCCTTCCCGCGCGAAGCGTGGAAGCTTTGACGTTTCATTGAATTATTATAGAAAGTAGACGACTCGTTGTACCGGTCTCGACTTTTAACCCTAATTCTCTGAATTCAGTTTCCCTCTTCCCGCGCGAAGCGCGGAAGCTTTGACATTACATTTAATTATTATAGAAAGTAGACGACTCGTTGTACCGGTCTCGACTTTTAACCCTTATTCTCTGAATTCAGTTTCCCCCTCCCGCGCGAAGCGCGGAAGCTTTGACATTACATTTAATTATTATAGAAAAAAGACGATTCGTTGTACCGTTCTCGACTATGAGTCCTTGTCTGAATTCACTTTCCTCTAGCTCTCGCGCGAAGCGTGGAAGCTTTGACGTTTCATTGAATTATAATAGAAAGTAAACGACTCGTTGTACCGGTCGCGGCTTTTAACCCCAATTCTCTGAATTGAGTTTCCCTCTTCCCGCGCGAAGCGCGGAAGCTTTGCATTACATTTAATTATTATAGAAAAAAGACGATTTGTTGTTCCGTTCACAACTTTTAATCCTGGTCTGAAATCAGTTTCCCCTTGAACCATAATGCATGGCCCTACAGAGGAATTTTTCCTGTTTGGGGCCGGTGGAAAATGCAATGAATTTTTGACAATTTATTGCATTTTCTTCGTTTTGGGGGATTTGTGGAAGGGGCTGCGTACCCTAGCAAACACTGCGTACAGTCATGATTCAGGGGCTAAGCAATGGCCTCGTTACTGTGAGGCCCCAGGATAAAAATCGTGTCGATCAGCTATTTAGTGCCCTTCTGTGAGGCATTAATCCTCATTACTGTCAATTATGACTTACGGACGTAGGTCCCTTATCTGATTAGCATAGTAGCACACATATGATTAAGCAGTCACGCAAAACAAACACTCGCAAATCAATATTCAATAAAATCTGAGAATGTATGCCATTATCTAGATCTATTAGAAATAAATAATTTTTAAAAATCCTTCCCTAAACTGGGGGAAAAATAAATATTCCACCATTATGACCAACAGTGTATATAGTACACGAGGATCGAGCAAGAATACCGACATTGCTGACCCGACACAGCAACATTTTTACTTGTATGCGTGTCTTTCTTGCTCCCTCGACGAGACGACTCCACCCACTCAAACCCCATCTCTCTTTTACTCTAACTCCTCCTCTCTCTGGCTCTTCCCACCCTTTCTCTCCTCTCTTTCATCCCCCGTATCTTTCATTATGTTTCCCTTTTCTCTTTTTTCTTCTTTTTTTCCCCCTTTTATTTCTTTTCTTTCTTTTTCTTTGTCGCATCATAGCCCGGCATCATAGACGGTCTATGGTCGCACGAAAAGCCTACCCGGCCCTTTACCGGATATTTTGGTAACGCGCATGCGGTAATTCAATAATTCAATTCATTGAATTCCCCCCGGTCCCCAACATTATAAAAAAAAATCTTCTGTACGACCATGCATTATGGCTCAAGGCATGGGCACATAAATTGCCCGCCCCCGGAGTGTGCCCCGGGTCTAGCGTCAACAATAGGCCTAATGCAATGAGGTTTCAAGATCTAGATCGCTAAACTTATGTGATCTAGATATCACTGACAGAGCGATATGGCCAGACTCCAAAGTGGTATTGCATCATCTTTTGCGGCATCTGATCTAGACTCATGAAATCAGTGCCTGCATGCCTATAGCGATGCTGGATATAGTGTATTCAAATATTGTATGCAATCATATTTAACTGAAATCGAGTTTCAAGTTGGCCTGCGGAACTTTTTGACACCAAAAGCGTTATATTTCAAATATCAAAAAGTTACCATTTATTAGTAGACGACTATTAAAACAGCCACGCCCATATTATATCCTCGAGTGTAGAGTACACTGCCAAGCTGCGATGCGAGGTGGCGCTGCGACGAAAAATACAAAGCCTGTAGATCCAGAAAGTGATTGACTCACTGTTGAGCAGCGATCGAAGCTCTTCCCCCGAGCTCTCTGGTCTACACGCGCAGCGCGCTGCGATCATGATCGAGTGATTCGCTGGGAGAATTTTAACACGCGTGGCATTGCGCAAGCAGCTGTTGTGGACCCGAGACGACCATACTCATCGAGGGAATTTTTCCTGAACCATCATGGCAGACAATGGGGGAAATGTAGAAAATAATCAAGGGTAAGGCAACTGTAAATGATAAAGTCTAGCAATTGATAATTAACTGATTAACGAGGAATAGAAACAGGTGAATGAGCAACTTGTGTCGAGCTCGAGTCGAAATCATCGATCAGCTGAGCTGACGGTGTGTACCGGGCCGTGTACGTGTGTGAGCAGCGGTTTGCCGTCAAACCTGGAGGCTGTAGGCCTAGGCCTCGTGTAATTGTTGTGATTAATGCCGTTTCCATCGTCATTCGATGATTTCCGCCAGGCAATGTGAGAGGGTAGTAGGCTAGACCGAAAGGTTTTATTAAAGAAATGACCCATCTTTCGTTCGTTAGCCTCTTATTGGGGTAGGGTCGGCCGGCTCTCTCTTTAGAGACGGAAACCATCTAGGCCCTATACACATTCCCTTGATAACGCCACGGCCATTTCAGGTCGTAGCGTTTTGCCCCCAAAATCCCCCAAAATGTCATTTTACCTCGTGCATGTTATATTGTAAATTAGGCCTAGGCTATAATAATTCAGTTCCACTTACCAACTTGACTGAAATAATCCGTTTAATGGTCCCTTTTAAGGAAATTATGGGTCAAAATCGACATCCATGTTGAAAATCTTGCAAGCCGTGTTAAACTCTCGCTGCTGGAGTCATCTAAATCAATCTCATCCCTTCTAGTCTACGCCGAAGGCAAAATGATTATGAAGGAAAAACTGTGCGCCATCTACACGTTCGTAATGGCGTTATCACAGCCAATGCGCGACTTGCAGCTTGAGCCACGCTGTCTCTGCGATATGTGCCATTGACTAGTATGGGTGGCCGTTCGCGCCATAGAACCCGGAAGTGAATACACGTTGTAGTCAATGGCAATATAATTATAAAATTAGCTGATCCACCAAATAGCGAGAAGGGTATATTTAAACTGTTATCAGTTGTGATCCCTGGGGGCTAGCGAAAATACAAGCACATAGAATTGTTCCTTAGGACTGGGACTACTTATCGATCGGGGCGTCATATCTCAAAAGTGACAAACCTCAGAGTTAGCCAGGACACAATGTTTAAATTGCTGTTTTGACCAAGATATTTTTAGAATTTCGGGGGCTACGCCCCTTTGGAAATATTGGAATTCACCTGCTCTTTCATATGACATCTCATTTATTGAGTATCACCTTCAGGATCACAACAGATAAAGGTTTGAATCTCGAATTGAAAAAAAAATTGAATTGAATTTTAGCTCACAACATTGGGTGCGCGATCAGACACCCTAGATAGAGATCAACATTTCAGATGTTCACAATTGCCACTTCTAACAACTAGAAAATATAAAGAAAAAAAATTATATCTTTTTAAATACAGATTTTTACAAACTGAACATTCGAAAGTAGATAGATTACAATGTTTCCGTCAATTTTGTGTTGGTTTGAGCCCTATAGCTACATCCATCTCAAAATGAGAAGGAAAACTGAACAGTGACGTCATTGTTCGTGCCAAAAATAAAGGGTATTGCGACATATGTCTGAGCTCCGGTCAGATTTTGCGCAAAGCGTAGTCTTATTAATAAACCCTAGTACCTTATTTTCACAGCACTAGATACGAGTGTCGTGCAGTAATGTATGAGAAGTGTTAAAAAAGATATTTCAGTAAAAAAAAAGTCCACGTGAACAGTCTATTCTATTTGAAGGTGTGTGTTGTATGATACATGGTTAGTGAGTATCTTACGTATAGCGAAAGGGAGAGAGAGAGAGAGAGAGAGAGAAATATTAGTACACGTACGTTGCATGGATATGCGCTATGCATGCTGCTGTATTGTGTTCGCTGCAAGATGGATGTTAATTGGACCTCGTAACTTCTTGATCGTTGATAATGCAGTGTCAGATTGATCTTTACTCATGAGGAAATACTACTGGATTTGGAATATCACCTTAAGGTACCGTATTTGCCGGCGTAAAGGCCGCACCGCCGTATAGGCCGCACCCCCAACTTTGACATTTCGTAATTTTCTTGTAGAACACTCTTTTTTTTTTACAAACTATACCAAATTCATCAATATTCTTATAAATCAACAAGAAGTTAACCTCAAAAATGATCATAATTTAGCAGATCTTTATCGACTTTTAAGCTAGTACTGTATCGTACGCAGATTTGGTATCCTACAATACCCCTTCCTCGATGTGCGGTGTAATCCGAAATAGCATTTTTCGACCTGCGCAGTTGCGTTGCGCGGCAGCTAGCTCCGTAAGTAACGGCCTGTCCCTTTGTTTACTTTTTGGCGATGCAATGGTATGGACTTAGATCTAGATCTATCGGCAGATTTTATTAGAAAAATAAGTTTTTTCGTCTTCATGTCAACTATGCAACATAAACTTGTCGGTAAGTTGTGTGGAGTTATTCTAGAATTGTCCTGTACCATTGTCTAGTCATGCTACCGTTCCTATAGTCCCATACGTGCAAATGGATGTGATGTTTTGATCGCTGAATTTTGTTGTTGTTGCGTATACGCCGCACCCTGACTTTTTGATTTTTTCTCACCCGAAAATACTGCGGCCTTTACGCCGAAAATACGGTAGGCTTGATTATTAATTTTAATTCTTTTCTAGGATTATATTGACTACAATCACGTAGATCTACGTTTATTTTTTCTGTCTGTTCATGTTTTGTCCCTCCATGGGCCTGGCTCGATTTCAGGACTGCGGCTTGCAATGCAATTACCTAGCTGTGTCGGTGTGTGCGACCGATTCAAGGCTAGCCGCTGATGATGAATGGAATTTCGCGCGAAGTTTTAAACTTGTTGTCCGGGCAATGACACGCCCAATCCCCTCGGGCCTGTCTAATTATGAACGTAATTTTGCGACATGAAATATAATTATTTCAAGGCTCTTACGTATGGATAGGCATAGAAGGAAACTGGATAAAAAGAGCTGGATATCTCCTATTTGATGGAACTTCTGGAGTCGGCAGATGGGTGAATTTTCTTAGTGAAAGAAAATACTTTCTTTTAATCTTTGTTTTATTATAAACAAATTAGTAATTAAAAAGTTAGATTTAGGCATTGGCATCCCTATTCAAAAATCAGCAATGCGTGACATTTTCATGATTCGGCGCGTGAGCGAGCGTGCTAGGGTATAATACACGTATAAGGTAGGGCTGTGCACAACAGTGTAATGAGGTACCCGAGTACACTCCCAGGCTCACAAGGGAATACTCGAATATTCGGACGCCATGTTTTTTTATAATTTTTTTGAATTTTTTTGAATTTTTGATTTTTTTGATTTTTTTGATTTTTTTGCCACTACCATACCACTTGGCAGTTTCCCAGGTCCCTCCCCGAAAACGCATGCAATTTTACTTTGAGTTGCAGTTGAAGGTGCCGATTTAATAAGAATAATAACAGTAAACAATGCTGTTTTAAAAACCAAAGATGGCAGAATAATACATTTTCCTCCAAGTCCAAACATATATTATATAGGAAATAGTCTACACTCAATAAAAATAGATGCGCTCATTGTAATAAAAAAAGAAACTATATAAAAAGTTTAACTTACAAAAATACAAAAAGGTAAAAGCATGCAAGCAAGACAATTACACATTGAAAAAAACAATATGAAAGGGTGAATGCATGCAAGGCGATTCAACATCGATTAAGTTCAGCTTAAATTGAGAATTTAAAACAAGAAAAGATGTAAGCATGCAAGACAATTCAACGAGTACATTCGGCTTAAATTGAGAATTTTAAAAAAGGAAAGGGTAAAAGTACAGTATGCAAGACAATATAACATTGACTATGTTTAGCTTAATTGAGAATCACAAAAAAAGAAAGGATGAATATGCATTCAATTCAACGAGTACGTTCAGCTTAATTGAGAATTTAAAAAAAGAAAGTGTGAAAGCATGCAAGAGAATTCAACAACAAGTACGTTCATCTTAAAGTACAAGTCCACTCCAAAAATAACTTGCCTCCAATAGAAGCAGAAAAATCAGACATACCAATCAAAAAAAGTTTGAGCAAAATCGGATACCCAATAAGAAAGTTATGAATTTTTGAAAAAGTATGTAAAACTATGGAACAATGAAAATCACTACACAAATTGCCAATTTGGTTATCAGTTTGTGACATTATGTCCTCACTATTTATCAATTGCTTTATATAGTTTAATCTAATTTCCCTTTTTATCCCTCAAAACTTGATTCCCCCATACCTTTGCCCAAGTTATATTATTTGTATCATATTGCATGCATGACATTCACAAATTTTTTTATGAACTATAGATAGTCTATCAAAATTCCAATTTTTCATGATTTAACTGGAAAAAAACACACTCTATATTAGTGCATCTACACAAAAACATATTACTATCATTCTAAGGGGGAAGGGGGACCATTAGGTGACCATGCGGCCAGACTGATGCTACCGCTTCATCCCTGATGTATATAAAACGCAAGGTCACCGTTCGCCCGACTTACGGTTGCCATGGAACCGCTCTACGACATGGCTTCGGCGATTCTAGAAATGAAAACAGTTATAACTCCTCGTTATAATCCCACGGCGACCCGTACGGCCTGTAAAGGTAAGGATACGACCTAGAGTGACCATGATGCTACCGCAGATTCTCTGCGGCCGGCGCAGGTATCTCTTGACTTTGGGGGTGTACGGCCGCCGTATCCTAGCTGTAGAGCAAATGTGACCTATGCATTACATCCAGTAAATTAAATGGAACAAGCTTCATCGACATGTATATATCCTAAAACTAATTACAATGCAAATTTGTGTCTTATTTCATTGCATGGTTCGGAATGATCTAATGCGTACAGAGACCATGTCAATCTGTGGCCCAAATGTTGAGCGTGGTATTTTTGGGCTCATCTGGAAGTTGAACCATAAAACCGGACACGGCTGCTCTAAAGCCATGGATCATATATCTGTGTCTGTTTATTTGCTGTGAAAGTTTAATTGCCCCATACATTTGTAAATGTTTTAGTATTAAATCTTGTGAGAATCAAACCAACTTTCTTCCAATGTGTATTAAGATTGAAATATGATTTCACTTGTCATTTTACCCTTCCACCCTAAAAAGAGATGCACCAATTTCCAAGAAAGCCCAGAAGAAAGCCCAAAAGGAAGCAGAGAAAGCGGCTAAAAAGGCTGAAAGACAAGCAGAACAGGTACAATATTCATCACAATTGGTATCTTGTCGATTCCATCAGGGAAATATATTTTGAGCCACTTTTTGTTATGCCTCCGCCACCGAAGGTGGTGCCGGAGGCATCATGTTTTTGGGTTGTCCGTCCGTACGTCCGTCCGTACGTCCGTCCCGTTTGACCGTTATCACAATATCTCAAGAACCATTTAAGATTTAAACTTAAGACTCGGGAATAGTATTTATCACCATAGGAAGACGATCTGATTAGATTTTGGAGTACGTAGGTCAAAGGTCACAGGTCACAGAGGTCAACTTATGAAATTCCTTGTATTGAGTTTGTTAGCGCGATATCTCAAGAACCATTTGAGATTTAAACTTCAAACTTAAGGTTAGTATGTATCACCATAGGAAGACGATCTGATTAGATTTTGGAGCACGTATGTCAAAGGTCAAGGGTCACAGAGGTCAACTTATGAAATTCCATACATTGAGATTGTTATCATGATATCTCAAGAACCACTGGAGATTTAAACTTCAAACTTAGTGATAGTGTGTATCACTATAGGAAAACAATCTGAATACATTTTGGAGCATGTAGGTCAAAGGTCAAGGGTCATAGAGGTCAACTTATGAAATTCCATACATTGAGATTGTTATCATGATATCTCAAGAACCACTGGAGATGTAAAAACTCCAAACTTAAGGATAGTATGTATCACCATAGGAAGACGATCTGACTAGATTTTGGAGCATGTAGGTCAAAGGTCAAGGGTCACAGAGGTCAACTTATGAAATTCCATACATTGAGATTGTTATCATAATATCTAAAGAACCACTGGAGATTTAAACTTCAAACTTAATGATAGTGTGTATCACCATAGGAAGACAATCTGATTAGATTTTGGAGTACGTAGGTCAAAGGTCAAGGGTCACAGAGGTCAACTTATGAAATTCCATACATTGAGATCGTTATCGCGATATCTCAAGAACCACTGGAGAATTTTCACTTCAAACTTAATGATAGTATGTATCACCATATCATAATATCTCAAGAACCACTGGAGATTTAAACTTCAAACTTAATGATAGTGTGTATCACCATAGGAAGACAATCTGATTAGATTTTGGAGCACGTAGGTCAAAGGTCAAGGGTCACAGAGGTCAACTTATGAAATTCCATACATTGAGATTGTTATCATGATATCTCAAGAACCACTGGAGATTTAAACTCCAAACTTGTTTAAATTGCTCTATGGCGGAGGCATCATTTTCGACTGCGCGCAGTCAAAATTCCATCTAGTTTGTTTATCTTTTTGTTGTTGGTTTCTTGTTTTTTGTTTTTAAATTTCATGTGTTGACACATTACAAGTTTATCTATATATGGAAATGGTATGTTATACCCAGGAAATGTAATAAATTACAATTTACTCTTTTACTCAATTACTCTTAGACCAATATTATTAATTTCAAAGTCATGAAAAGGCACTAAATATCAACAAACATGGTCTACAACAACTCTAAATGACAAAATAATCCCAGCCATGAATTTTTTTAAAGCATTTGATAGCCAAAAACTTGAAAATTTTCATCATTAAAAAAAAAAATACCTACATTATAATCCAAGATGGCGGCCCGTATGTTTTGCCTCTGCTCTTAGACCAATATTACTAATTTCAAAGTCATGAAAAGGCACCAAATATCAACAAACATGGTCTACAACAACTCCAAATGACAAAATAATTCCAGCCATTAACTTTTTTTGAGCATTTGATAGCCCAAAACTTGAAAATTTTCGTCATTTAAAAAAAAAAAAAAAAATTGGCTGATTTTTTTTGTCGATCTTCCGATCCGCTACCGATCATAGGTGCGAGGGTGTCGCTCCGATCTTCCGATCCGATCAGAGCCCCAACTTACAGGGTTATTCTGAATAACAGTTGTATCATCTTTGGAAATCATTGCTCTGAACATATTAATATGCTTTCTTCATATGTTTTATGTAACTACTGATTCTTTACTCTGGCACTCACTTTTTCTTTCAACAACAGGCTGCAGAGGCCGAGGCAGAAGCAGGAGATGATTTTGCTAAGGATCTCTATGGCAATTATCCCCTGATTCAGTCACAGAATAAGATTGGTACGTGGACTAATATTCAAGTAATTCTATGTCTAATTCTATTCTTGCTACAGCAACCATTACTCAGTGTTCCTTCACTAATTGAATTCTTACAATTCAACCTCCGACCAAACGCAATACTTATATGCTCACCCTAAACGGTTAAACATCATTGCAATTAACCATAACAATAAATCTTTGAGAGAATTGGGCATGTTACTGGTGCAAATTTCAGGTAACTATTCAAGTATATTCAAATTATATTAATATCCTACTGCTATCAATTCTCATATGGTTTTTGCCTTGCCAGTTATCAAATATTTTCTTGATAATGAATAGTGGTTGTGATATTTGAATATCCTAATTAGCATGACAGATAACATTCATCAAAACTAGATACAACGGAAACTCATTAAGAGCTCTAATATAATGAGGTATCTACAGTCAAACCTGTACACAACGACCACCTGTCTAACGCGGCCAGCGGCCACTAATTTTGCTTTCGAAAAATGCCTATACAACGACCACCAGCACCAGTCATATAGCAACCAACAACAGCCGTGTAGATCTGACACACAATTAAACTATTCATCGGCAAAGCTTTTATTAAAACTTCAATCAAAACATTTAATTACCGACAGGATATGGTTTCTTGCACTTTTCATTATGGACTGTGCCTAATGAAAATGTAACAATACAGAGTCATCGTCATGAACTTCTCAATCAAAGACTTGCTTGTTCGTCATGCACACATAGGCTATTTCAAAGATACAAAATTACGTCCAATCATTTTACATTTTATTTTTAGGAAAAACCATACCTCTCTTTCTTTATTCAATTTTTGAACACCAAAAAATAAAGTTGCGTTGTTAGATTCATCGATCGGCTCTCTGCCTCGTTTTCGCCCGACTGAGCCCTTATAAAGCCACAGAGAATTGTTTGCGCACTGGCGGGTCTGCGACCCTGGTCTGCAATAGGCCTTGCGAGTGCTGTCAATCAATTATTCAAAACCAAGATGGCCGCCAACGCAAACCTGTCTACAATGGCCCCTGTGTTTTTGTTTCCCTTGGGTGGTTGCGTTAGACAGGATTTACTGTATTATATCAAGATAATTTTGCTGGTCCCAGCTCTTTACCGGTATATTCTTTTGGGGTTTGTTGCCCTAAGATAACGAGTTTCCACTGTACTACTAAACAGATAAAAAGACAAGTAACAGCTAAATAGGGCTGTAGCCGAACCGCTGAACATGGCACTTCCGAAACGAGCTGAACCGAACCGAGCGCAAAGGCCTGGTTCAGATGTTCGGCAGTAAAATTTAAACATTTTTGCTAGCTAATTAACTTGTCATTTTGTACCTAATTTTCATGTCATGATTGTTCATTCTATATTTACTTTATTCCCATTTTCCTTCTTCGCACATGCTCTTGATATTGTTTATCAATGAGCCAGTTTTACATACAGTGTGAGTGGCTATGCCCTCATAAATATTGATGTTTGCGATTATACAAATATAATTGGCCGTTACTTCACCTTCCTAGCCAATTGGAGAAAGCGCGCCATGTTAGCCTCACAAATCATGCTTTCTCTGACTGGCTCGGAAGGTGAAATAACGGCCAATCATATTTGTCGGACCGCAAACATCAATATTCATAAGCGCATAGTCAAGCACGCTGTATAGTTGGCAAGGCTCCAAGAACTACAGGTCCGAGAATAGGAACCAAATGGGAACTTCCCCCCTGCCTGGGTATATATAGACTGTTCATTGCGTAACATGCACTTTCTCTGTCATCAAGTCACTCAGCAAGAGATTGAGAGAAGAGTCAAGTCATTGAATGATATAATTATGTCAACAAGATAAAAGGGATACCATTGGGACTTGTTGGTTGAAGGCTGATGGAATGTGACAGGGGCCACTGGAGCGTAGTAAATCAAGTTTCGGGGTGAATATATTTGCAAACTTTTCTTTGTCTTGCTATTATATTACCAAACCAAACTAAAGTTCGGGTAAAAAATTGCTGAACTCTGCCGAACAGAACCGAAATGAACCTGAACATGGTGCCTGACAGACAGCACTGCAGCTAAGTAAAAAATACTACTTAATTCTACTCTGCCCACTTCAAAAGATAATTAAAAATTTACTTTGTATCTTTCAGAGAGGAAAATCTACCGAGTTGAAGAGCTTACTGCAGACAAAATTGATCAGAAGGTCTGGATCAGGGCTCGCTTACACACCAGCAGGAGCAAAGGTATGGTGAACAAAAGACTAAAGGCAAAAGACAATACAGCATTTTTCCAATTTTAGACCCTGTTGTAGTTTAATTGTGCACACTGGGATAAATATGGCATCGGTTTACCTATATGGGAAGTCCATCCTGACATTGTGTTAGTTTTAATGATAGCAGAAAAAAGCAGAGAGACAGATCAGTGATGTTTAAAGGTAATGCAAAGTTTTGGGAAATTTTGAAAATTGGATGGATAGTAATTCTTAATTTTTTTGGATATATTTGGATGCTCCTGTGGATGTAATATAAGCACTGAAAGATTTAGCCCCTAAAGCACTTCTGCTTTCAAGAAATTAAATAATCAAAATTTACAGGTGCTCCCGTTAAATTTCAAATATTTCAAATAGTGCCAAAGGCCATTCCATAGTAGCTGCGACCATGAAAACCTCAGAATATGCAGTTCTGATATATAATTTCCAAACTGGAATAGCAAATCAGTCCATTGTAGTCAAGAAACATTGTTTTAAAGCTATAGTAATATCAGTCTTGAGAGGGAGCTATACAACACAGAGAGTTCATTATTTGCAATTTCATCACTTTTGACTTCAAAGGCGAGTTCAAAGGCGACAACAATCATAGGATATTGTAAAATCGCATATGCTTCCAATATATTCATTTGAACCAAATTCATGACCCCATACCAATACTTTGTATTACCTTTAAGGAATACCTGCGATCAGAAAGTTATGAAGCAGTAAAGTAGTGGTCAATCAAAAACATTATAACTCTGACTTATCCTGCTAATATATTTATATTGCCCATGTGCTTTGTAGGAAAAAACTCCCTTTAAGATATACTTGAGTTCTGGTAAATATAGAAAAATACAGAATCGTATGAAACTTACACTGAATATTCAAGATTACAAATAAATGTACCAAACAATTTTGGTAGAAAATGTATAGTGGCTGAGAAATGAGCATAGAAAGATAAGGAAATCCGGTTAAATACCGTAGACACCCACCATGCGATTAACACGGGTCACTATGTGCAAATGGGAGTTGTGGTTTTTATTGAAGATGTAAGTAAGTTTTTGTGCTGTTTTTCATATTTCTCTGGTTCAAACAACCAATCTACTGCAGGATAAACAATCCAAGATAAATCATAGCAATTTTCTCTCACAATACAATTACCATACCAGAGCTAGAGATTAGCTTTAATATAATATTTTCTCTGAAGAAAAATTGAATGATTTAAATAATGATTGCACAGTTTTTTATACAATCCTTGGACAAAATAGAGTGATTCCTTCACCTGCAACCAAGAAAGCAAATGCAGAAACATTCTTGAAAGTTATGTCAGAGTTGCCACTTAGCGAGTCCTTATACAGGCTGCTCATTACCTTGCGGCCTGCAGTATCGGCGCAAGTCACCGATACTTAAGCCCGTTCTATATAGCGCTCGATTCAGATCAGCTGGTAGTTAATCTTTTTTGTTGTTGGAATTTGTTGTAAAGAAGAGATATAAAACAAATATACCAAGCATTTAGTTCGAAAAAATAGTGAAAATGATATATCTTTGGAGGGACCGGCAATAGCACTATGCCAGTCCCTCTTCATACCCGGTATATATAATTTCCACTATACTTTCTCACAGCTTGGTTTATTTGTATACTATGTCACAAACAAACTGACCAAAATGCCAATTCGAGACTCGCACCTATAGACTTAGTGATCTCATATTATATTAAACATTCATAACTTTCATATTACTTGTCCTATTTATTTCAAACTTTGGCCATTCTGTTTATTTTATTTTTCCTATTTCATGAACTTATTACAAATGTTTAATTGCCCTTTAAAACAGGGGACACATCGAGTTGTCTTTGCATTGGCAAATAAAGTCATGACAACAGAAAGTATTGTATATTTTGCCCAAATTTGAACCAGTTTTGGTTCTTTGTCTTGACAGGCAAGCAATGTTTTCTTGTGCTGCGACAGCAACAGTTTAATTGCCAGGGTCTGCTCTGTGTCAGTGACAAAGTTAGCAAGCCTATGGTTAAATTTGCTGCCAAGTAAGTTCAGATTTTATGTTTATTACAGTATATTTACAGAATTTATTTGATTTGAACCACTAGTTTGATCTTAATTTGTTTTTAACAGCTCAAAAAATATAAAAAAGATTTTAATTTTTTTTTCAAATTTCATGCTTAAGAAGTTCATGGAATATGGGCCCTGATTTTGACATTTCCAGGCATGATATTAGTATTAAACATTGCCAAACATGGAGGAAAATAATGTAAAATGGGAGAAAATCTGAGCAGAGGTATGCATGTTGATTTATTTGATATTTTGATTGCTAACAAACGTCACTTTTAAGGGGCTTATTTTTCATTGCCATTCAATTGTGAGAAACAGGTATCTAATTTTTTTACCCGCGGCTCTTGAGCTGGACCATGGTACCCGGTTTTTATTCCCAGCCCTAACATGTGTTATGACAGATTAATGATTAATTATCCCTGTGCTGACGAAGTCGGAGGGGATATAGCAGCGCTGCCTTCCGTCCGTAACAAATCTGGTTTCTGTTGGTTACTTTAGTAATGTTTTGGCGGATTTTAATAAAATTTGCTATGAGGGTACCAGGTATTAAAACACAGCCCAAGTTCAATTTTGGGGTATGTAGGTCAAAAGTCATAGCTCATTAAATATGTGAAAATAGCTAATTATACTTAAGTAATGTTCTAACAGATTTTAATGAAATTTGATATGAAGGTACATGGCATCAAAATACAGCCTAGGTTGGATTTCGGAGTATGTAGGTCAAAGGTCACAGCTCATTAAATATGCAAAATTTTCTAAAAGATAGGCTATATGTACCCGGTGAGAGGATGCTACGCTTTTGCGTTGACTTGTTGATTTAAACTTTGGCAAAACAAAAATAAAAAGATAAACTGATATTATGGATCTTAACTATTGTTTGGTCATCCTACATATCATTTCATGTTTTTTTCTTCTTCCAAGTTTAGTATTACAAAGGAATCCATTGTTGATGTTGAGGGTGTGATAGCTGCTGTGCCTCAGCCGATTGAGAGCTGTACCCAGAAAGATGTCGAACTTCACATTGAACAGGTATGGTGTTTAATGTTACCTGATTGTTAAAAAGATAATTACTTGCAATTAAGCTCTAGTTGTCATACGAGGTGCTTGAAGCTTTTTGCTATGCCCATGAGCAAAAACTTTGTTTTGTACCAAGAACATCTCTATCCAGTAAACAATATTTATAATCTTATAATTTCATTTCTTCAGAATATAGTGAATTCCAAATTCCAAATGTCAAACAAGTGCAATAAATTATATACCGTAATTAACGGTGTATAAACCGCATCTTTTTGCCGCCAAAAAAAATTCAAAGTCGGGGGTGCGGTTTATACACGGTACACCAAAACAAAAAACAAAAACAAATTTTTTTTTTTTTTTTTTAAAGTTTCGATTTATGCCCCTCCACCTGGCGCTATGCCTGGCAATGTCTCCCAGCACAGTAATCGATGTGTTGACTCACCACTCGGAAACTTAAACAACAATCAAATTTGTCTGTCATCTTGGTTTGAAAGTAATCTTTCTGATAGATCTCAATATGTAGTTTATAATAATAATTCCTCCAATTTTTCTTCTATTACACAGCATACCACAAGGTTTTATCCTAGGTCCTCTGTTTTTTAATTTACATTAATGATCTAACACATTCAGCTGCACCTCGCAGTTAAATGAAAGGCCTTCCCGCATGGGTTTTTTAACACGGACCTTGCTTGCTGTTTTTTTTAGGGCGAAAAAGAGGGGTGCGGTTAATACATGAGGGCGGTTTATACACCATTAATTAGGGTACATGAAATGTGTTTTTATAAAAATGTTGCATTGCTTTGCAACGGATTTATATAATTATGCATTTTTACATTTTTTTTCTAGCTATTTGCATATGTTGGGGCCATTTTGTGCCTATTGCTGTTCCTTTTATTTGTTTATAAGGTCAAAGGTCACAGGGCTCATTATGTATGCAAAAATAGCTTGTGATCACATAACTGATGGACGGATTACCACCAAACTTATGTCATGTATGTACTGTATGTTCCAAAGCCAATGAACTGATTATATTCTAAGGGTCATGAGGTAAAATTTCAAAGGGTCATGTATGTACATGAAAAAAAAATAAGATTTTTGGGTCACAAGGTCAAAGCTCAAAGGTCGAAGATCCATCTAGTTTCTATATATTTCTGCTTTATTTGAAGATATTTGTTGTGAGTCCTGCTGAGCCCAGATTGCCTCTGCAAATTGATGATGCTGCCAGAGCAGAGGGAAAGGATGATGATGATTCTTCCTTAGCAACGGTAGGACAAGATGTCCGCCTTGACAACCGTGTCCTTGATCTCAGGGTAAGATGTGAGACATGATACTTTCAAATTTTGATCAAAGAAGGCAGAGAAAAGACTTTCTAGGGTACCATAAAGATGGGAAATGATATGATAAATATTCAGATTTAGATATTACTTCATAATTTGTTGATGTGTAGACCTGTGCATTTCAACGTGTGTCATTATGCAGTGCAGTACAACGGACATCAAATTCAATGTGTAATTTTGTGGGATTAAATTGTTTAATTTTAGTTTTTATGGAAATATTTTTGGAGGTTCAGTACCAAAAAAAGAAAGAATTTGAGGAGCAGACTATTAATCTCTTCAGTTTTTGTCATGCCTGCGTAACAAAAAGCGAGACAAAGGCGCCGCTTTTCTGGTGGCAGCGACTACGGCGTCAACATCAAAAACTCAACCTAAGGTTAATGTTTTTATGCCTCTGCTACAAAGTAGCCAGAGGCATTATGTTTTCGGGTTGTCCGTCTGTCCTTACGTACGTCCCGTTTTCGTGATCGCGTTATCTCAAGAACCAATTGATGGATTCCGGCCAAACTTGGGTCATGTATGTATCTTGCAGAGCCAATGAATTGATTAGATTTTATTGTCATGAGATCACAGGTCACAGGGCTCATTATGTATGCCAAAATAGCTTGTGATCGCGTTATCTCAAGAACTCATCAATGGATTCCCGCCAAACTTGGATCATGTATGTATCTTGCAGAGCCAATGAACTGATTAGATTTTAGGGTCGCGAGATCCAAGGTCAAAGGTCACAGGGCTCATTATGTATGCAAAAAAAGCTCATTATCACATTATCTCAAGGACGGATTGATGGATTTCCTCCAAACTTTGGTCATGTATGTATCTTGCAGAGCCAATAAACTGATTGGATTTTGGGGTCACGAGGTCAAACATCAAAGGATATGGGGCTCATGATGTATGCGAAAATAGCTTGTGAATGTATTATCAATAGAACTGACGGATGGATTACTGTCAAACTCAAAACATGTATCTTGCAGAGCCAATGAAGTGATTAGATTTTAGGTCCATGAGGTAAAAGATCTAAGGGTCAAACATGTATATGAAAAATAGCTTCTAATGACATTATTCTGAGAATGTTTCAGTGGATTACAATCAAACTTGAATTTTAAAAATTGCTTCTGTTTTGGTTTGTAAAATTGCTCCATGGCGGAGGCATCATTTTCGACTGTGCGCATTCGAAGGTCCATCTAGTTAATTTGTAATATAATTTTGAATTTGTAAGTTTTTATTCAATGAAACTTGGAATAAAGGGTTATCAAGTATCACCAATCATAGGATTAGTCTTTTAGGTGACACAGTCAAGGTCAAAGGTTATTTTAGGTTAGTAGATTTGGATTATGTTTTCACAACTTAATATGAGAATTGATAATCAATTTTTGTTATTTGTTCATAACTTCATATTCCATTAAAGTTATCAATCGTACAAATTATAGTAAATATTTCTTTTGATGATTCTTAGTCAAGGATTCCTTTTTGGGGGCCTGCTAATGGGCCACCCTGCCTACAAATAATGTCCCAACCTCAATTTTTCGTCATTACCGAATTGCGTAATGCAGGCGAGACCGCCGAGAGTGTTTCCTTTGTTTTTAATACAAATAGAAGCTACTTTTTTCTCTGTTTATCAGACCACTACTAACCAGGCCATCTTCCGTCTTGAAGCCGGAGTAGTCCAAGAGTTTCGTGCAGCCATGAAGAAGAGAGATTTTGTTGAACTTCAGATTCCCAAGATCATTTCAGGTATGAACAGCTGTCAAAAGTCGTCTAATGGGTTTTGCATGTTAGCTTGTTGAAAGAGTGTGCATTTAAATTTCATTAATCGTTACTGAAAGCTCTCATCCAAAATATTTCATGTCTAAGATGTGATACCAATATCACCACTAGCATCTTGGGTTGGATATTAGCCAGATTGTACTGCATGACTTGTATAGCTGTGAGGCCACAACACATTTTGCTGTGATGCCCTACTCCCTGGCTGCAATATCCTTTTTAATTCATACTTTTTGTAGGCCACTTTGAACATGTCTTATGCTATTCATGTGTCTTGGCTTTTGTGCATTTCTAAGTGGACAAAGTATTCATTAACCTTACTCGCTGAGACTTGTTGAGGCAGCTGTTTGAGACTATGATGGACCTACAATGGGATGAAATTGTTTTGCAGGATAAACATGTATACAGTAGTGAACTTTAACTCTGTTCACACTTTTAAGCTACACTTGGTCTATACCATTTATGTTTAGAGCTGTGATGGTAATTTTGGGCGGGTACAAAAGATGATATATTAAAAAAAATCACCTGCTAGATCTAATACCGTTGTTAGATCTAAATTTTTCATAAAACAATTGACTATTCATAATACGAAAATACCTTTGAATATACATGCATACCTCGGTTAAAATTGGAATATCTCTCATGAAGTTATTTACTATCAAACTCAGGACATGTATTTGCAGAGCTAGTGACCAATTAGATCAAAGGGTCATCCATGTATATGAAAAATTACTTTTCATCATGATATTCTGAGAACCTGTTAATGGATTACAATCAAACTTGAATTTTAACAAATGCTTCTGTTTTGGATTGTAAAATTGCTCTATTGCGGAGGCATCATTTTTGACTGCGGGCAGTCAAAGTTTCGTCTACCGTATTTGCCGGTGTAAAGGACGCAGTATTTTTGGAAGAGAAAATATCAAAAAGTCTGGGTGCGGCCTTTGCGCAACAACTGAAAATTCAACAGTCAAAACAGCACGTCCATTCGGACATGTGGGACTACAATGACTATACAATGGTACAGGACATTTCTAGAATAACTCGCCTATATTACCAACCATTTTATGTTGCATTGTTGACATGAAGACTAAAAATAAACTTCACTTATTTTTCTATCAAAATCTACCGGTAGATCTAGATCTAAGTTCGTGCCATTGCATCACTAAAAAGTAAAAGAATGGACTAACCGTTAGTTACGGAGCTAGCTGCCGCGCAATGCAACTGCGCAGGTCGAAGTCACAATATCGTATTACACCGCACATCGTGGTAGGGGTAAATGTAGGATACCAAATCTGCCTGCGATACAGTACTAGCTTAAAAATCAATGAAGATTTGCTAAATTACGATCATTTTTGAGGTAAACTTCCTGTAAATTTATAAGAATATTGATGAATTTGGTATCAGTTTATAGAAAAAATAGTGTTCCACAAGCAAATTATGATTATTTTGTTTGGTCCGTTTTTTTTTTCTCTCGTTTTTTTTTCCCTCTACGAAATGCGGCGCTGCGGCCTTATCGCGGGACATATGGTAGTTTATCCATGTTTGGTGATGTTTAGAGCCTCATCATGCCTCTGAAAGTAAAAAACTGGGACAAAAATAGGAAGAGACCATTCAAGCTGCCATTTTGATTCATGCAGGATGAATAAATCAGGCTAAAAAAGTTGGAATAATAAAACCTCTTTTTAAAATGTTGAATAAAACGGCTTTCTAAAAAATTCTTCTTCACAACATACCGATTGAACAAATTTTAAAAACAAAATTAACATTTCTGTCTTGTGATAAACACTGCATGCTTCTTTTGAAAGATGATAAGTACTTAGTCATCACAACATCTTCTGATACTCATCGCTGTTGCAAGGCAAATTCAGACTAGTCTTGGAAGGAATGTGCAATACACTCCATTAGCTGTAATGTGTGCCAAAACAAACCCTAACAAGTATCGTACCAAGAAAACATTCAAAACTAGGAGAGCACAATGGAGAGACAACAACTACTCCAAATTACCATAAGCAGATACATAACTTGGACAAAGAATACAGTAGTTGACCGAGAAAAAACACATAAATAGTGATATTTGAGGAGTAACTTGGTACATTTTTATTGGAATGGGCCTGCTGCGAGGTACGTGCACATGTACAGTAGTTTCCCCCTCGATTGATAAAGTGGAAGCATCCGTAAATTTTATTCCATAATGATTTGGTCCGTGGCATGTAATATACTTGGGTAAAAAAAAATAGTTTGAAGAGATCATAAATCATGTTAAGACACTTCCTCCTTTCTCTCCGTCATACAGCTGCCAGTGAGGGTGGAGCCAATGTGTTTACTGTGTCTTACTTCAAGAACAATGCCTACCTTGCTCAATCACCTCAGCTCTACAAACAGATGGGGATTGCGGCTGACTTTGAGAGGGTTTTCACTATTGGTGCAGGTGAGATTATTTTTCATTTCTCTTAACAAAATAGAAACCAAATGAATCAAATTGTTTTTGTGCTTGATTCAAAATTGACTACAAAATTTGTCCATGCTTCTTTGTTCTCTGCCATACTTGTAAATGCACTCTATGAGTTATGAGTCACTCCAAGTTAACTGGTTGTTTGCATTTATCTTTTGCTAGATCATCATACCCTATCCTCTAACATACTGCAATACATCAAGGTGTATCTTGATGGGACCAAAGTATTCAGCATGTATTTTCCCTGTTAAGTAAGAATTGTACCTAAACTGTGTGTGTGTCTCTTCTTTTTAAAATTTTTTCTCAAATTAAAAAGTGGCTTGAACCTTAGATTTAGATCAGTATTTGACAGGAATAATCTGAAAAGTGACCTATCGTTGGATGGCACATATATGTTGCTTGTGAAAAGGTGTTTTCTAAAAACTTTCTTTAAAATCTTATTCTATTGACAGTTTTCAGGGCAGAAGACTCCAACACACATCGTCATCTGTGTGAGTTTGTGGGCTTGGACATGGAGATGGCCTTTAAATATCATTATCATGAGGTAGGCAATTTAGAATATTTCAAGGGGAGAGTTGGGTTATTTGTGGGCTTGTGTGCATGAACATGGAATTAGCATTTAAATTATTTTATCAAAGATCCAGTACTATTAATCCCATACAGTGACAGCATTTTTTAATTTTTTAAAAATTATTTTTCTTCTTCAATTTAACATGGGGATAATACACCAAAGCTCTTTGAAAATTTGTAGAATGGACTTAGAAATGTAAAGAAGGCAAGAATTTGTGGAGTAAAAGGATCAAAAGGATTGTCCATTAATGGTGAAAGGATCTAGATTATATTTTCACCATAGAAATAATTGAACATTTGTTTTAAATGACTGTGTTTATGAAGAACATAGCTTCACTCAAACCATTATCATCTCTTTCCTTTGTACCCAGGCCCTGGATGTCATTGGAAGCGTATTCAACGATATCTTCAGGGGTCTTCGAGACAACTTCCAGACAGAGATCCAGACAGTAAGACGTCAGTTCCCGTCAGAAGACTTCAAGTTCCTAGACCCTCCTCTTCGTCTGGAGTGGCCTGAGGGTATCAAGATGCTGCGTGATGCAGGCATTGAGATTGATGACCTAGAAGATCTTAGGTTTGTAACCAGCTGCCAACTAATCAGACAACAATTTTGCAGAAGTGTCATGGTCTAGTGGATACGTCACAGTACATGGTTTGAGATTTGCGTCCTGCTGCGGCATTAACGTCACTAATCTTTATGCCTTTGCTACAAAGTAGCTGGAGGTATTATGTTTTCTGGTTGTTCATACGTCAAGAACTGATTGATGGATTACAGCCAAACTTGAGTCATGTATGTATCTAGCAGAGCCAATGATTGCACTGAGTATATTTTGGAGTCATGAGGTCAAAGGTCATGGGGCTCATTATGAATACATGCAAAAATAGCTTGTGAACGCATTGTTAATACTGACGGATGGATAACTATCAAACTCAGGACATGTTTGTATCTTGCAGAGCCAATAAACTTATTAGATTTTAAGGGTCATGAGGTCAAAGTTCAATGGATCATACATGTATATGAAAAATAGCTGATAATCATATTTTGAGAATCTGTTAATGGATTGCCATGAAACTTGAATTTTAAAAAATTGCTCCTGTTTTGGTTCGTAAGAATTCTCTATGGCGGAGCCACCATTTTCGACTGCATGGAATTGAACATCCATCTAGTTACACGTAAACCACTGGGGATCTCAGCAAAATTTATTAATGCGGCCCGTTACCCAAGGTCATATAAGAATGAAATTTGACATATCTTGTTGTCTTGATAACTTTAGAACCAATAAGAGAAAACCTTGCTTGATTTAAGTATGTGTAAGCAAAGGATAAACTGATGAGATTTTTACTTTAAAAAGAGAAGATAATGTCATTTGAATATCAATAAATATTACAATATTGTGTTACAGGTATAACTTGAAAATCATTGAAGCAAATTTAATCAAGTCTGCATAAGTGCGTATAAGCTCAAGGATTTGAAAAGAGTTTGGTCCAAGAGATCAAAAGTGTGTATTTATAAATTCATGCAATACACTGCAAATTTACAGCTGCTACTCCTTCACATAAATGATACAAGTTTTTTTTTAAATAATCATGTACCTTGTGATTATGTGACAGCACCCCTAATGAGAAGTTCTTGGGTCGTCTTGTGAAGGAGAAGTATGACACTGATTTCTACATCTTGGATAAGTTCCCACTCTGCATTCGGCCTTTCTACACTATGCCTGATCCAAACAACCCGGTAAGTCATATACTTTTCACTCTATATTTAGTTGGTCTGTCATCGACAGATCACCTATTGATTTCGTCATAATTTTCTTTCTTTATTCTTTCATTTATTATTATTTTTTTCTTCAAATTTCACCCCCAATTTTTGTGTGTAGAGGATATCTCAAAATCAGTAAAGTCAATATCTTTTCATTTTGGCACAGTCATAGGTCATTGTCATGAGACATGACAGCAACATATTCAAGGTCATCAGGTCTTCATGACGTCATCCAGGCGCCATTTTGAGAATTTTTTTGAAAATCAACTCATGATCATATCTTCATAAAAACAGAAAGTCATTTCTAATTCATATTTAGCATGATCAAGGTCAATTAACATGCAGTGAGTGCTCAAAATTTCAAAATGATCCAAATCGTCTCAAATTCATTTTGCATTCATACATTTTAGGTCGTTTTGAGCATTGCTATAAAAGATTAAAAAGTTGCACACACGCGCCAAACCTGCCAGCTAGTATGATTTAGTCGTATTTTGTACGATTTTTAGAATCAAATACGACAGTACGATGTTCCTCAATAAAATAAGATTTTCAACAAAAACAAAAAATATATATATTTTTAATTTTTAAATTTTTGTTGTTGTTTTGTTTGTGTGTGTGCCATTTTCAATGGCAAAATGCCCATTCTGTCCTGTAAAGTATCCTACAAGCATCTCACATCGGCAATTTGGGGATGTTCGTTGGTTCATTGAACTCAACAGTCGTGACGAAATTATGCATATTCAACCAATGATCCATAAAAAAATTCTTCCTGTATGTAGGAACTGTAAGAGGCATTGATCCGCATGACATTCCATTTTTATGCCTCCGCTACAAAGTAGCCGGAGGCATTATGTTTTCTGGTTGTCCGTCCGTCCGTACGTCCGTCCGTCCGTCCCGTTCTCGTGATCGCGTTATCTCAAGAACCAATTGATGGATTCTCTCTAAACTTGGATCATGTATGTATCTTGCAGAGCCAATGAACTGATTAGATTTTGGGGTCATGAGGTCGAAGGTCAAAGGTCACAGGGCTCATTATGTATTCAAAAATAGCTTGTGATCGCAATATCTCAAGAACCGATCAATGGATTCCTGCCAAACTTGGGTCATATATGTATCTAACAGAGCCAATGAACTGATTAGATTTTGGGGTCACGAGGTCGGAGGTCAAAGGTCACAGGGCTCATTATGTATACAAAAATAGCTTGTGATCGCGTTATCTCAAGAACCGATCGATGGATTCGTGCCAAACTTGGGTCATGTATTATCTAACAGAGCCAATGGACTGATTAGATTTTGGGGTCACGAGGTCGAAGGTCACAGGGCTCATTATGTCTACAAAAATAGCTCGTGATCGCGTTATCTCAAGAACCGGTCAATGGATTCCTGCCAAACTTGGGTCATGTATGTATCTAACAGAGCCAATGAACTGATTATATTTTGGGGTCACGAGGTCAAAGGTCACAGGGCTCATTATGTATGCACAAATAGCTTGTGATCGCATTATAATGAGAACCAATAGACAGATTACTATCAAACTCAAGACATGTATATATGTATCTTGCAGAGCCAATTAACTGATTAGATTTTAGGGTCATCAGGTCAAAGGTCATGGGGCTCATTATGTATGACTATAAATAGCTTGTGAATGCATTATTATTAAAACCGACAGATGGATTACAATCAAACTTGAATTTTAAAAATTGCTTCCGTTTTGGTTTGTAAAGTTGCTCTATGGCGGAGGCATCATTTTTGACTGCGCGCAGTCAAAATTCCATCTAGTTGTTTTTAAGAATACAACTTTTGGGAATAAAGACTACAGTTTTTGAACTCCAGAGGTTGGCAGGTCTGACGTGCATGCTTGTGCGTTTTTGTTCATAATGGCTGTACTCAACATAGAATAGCCATTTGGAAGCATTATGTTTTCTGGTTGTCCGTCCGTCCACTCGTACGTACGTATGTATGTCCCGTTCTCGTGATCGCGTTATCTCAAGATGGATTCCCTCCAAACTTGAGTCATGTATGCATCTTGTAGAGCTAATGAACTAATAAGATTTTTGGGGTCACTAGGTCAAAGGTCACAGGGCTTATTATGTATGCAAAAATAGCTTGTGATCGCGTTATCTCAAGAACCGATTGATGGATTACAGCCATACTTGGGTCAGTCAGGAATCCCATGACTTTTACAAGCTGACCGCCTGTCCGATTATCAAGATATTTATGATTGTAAATTGAAATTCTATTTTTTGTTTTTTAAACGGTTTTGATAACACTACAGTCTATTGGGGCTTCAATATTATACAGATATTGAATGGCAGGGGGTATGATATAACAGTATTTGGACCACTGAAGGGATTATATTTTCCTAAAGCGCACAGTGCTGAGGGAAATTCAGGTCCAAGAAATGTTATATACCCCCTGCCAGTCAATATCTGTTGTATAAGATAGCCTTGGTTTGATTTTTTTTTTGTATCCCAAATTTAAATTTTTTTTTTTTTTTTTTTAGCTGTCATTTTATATTATAGTATTAATGACTGCTTTGAGAGAAATAGTTGTTTTTATACACTCAAGGGAAGGTTAGAATTGTGCTATTGCCCGAGGCATGCCGAGGGCAATAGCACAATTGTAACCTTCCCGAGAGCGTATAAAAACAACTATTTCTCGAATATTAAAGCAGTCATTAATACTTTTATATGCGAACAAATTATGACACCACCTTGGCCTTTCTCTAGTTTATCTGCACGGTTGTTTTTTACGAGTGTTTCTTTGAGAGTAGACTAGATCTAGATTCTAGTCTAAGTAAGATATTTTTACAATTTTAGGGGTAGGCCGGCCCTGTGGGGAATATGGAGAAAAACCTGCACTTTCATATGACCCCTCACTTATTGAGTATCACCTTCAGGATCATGAGCAATATTAGTTTGAATCTCTGGTAATTAAAACATCAACCAATCTAGCATGATCGAGTGTGCAATGGCCAATGGAAATGCATAGGGATGTGTACTTTGTGTGTAATCTCTACGGGAAGGATCTGCATCTGTCCGTGACGTACAAATCACTACAATCACCAGCATCTGGTTGTCGCATACTAGAATCTAGATCTAGGCCTACTGAAAAAAAAATATGGAAGATTTCACGTACCCTTTTTGGTGTTCTTGCTGTCAGCATGTCTCGCATTTGATCCTCATCCAGAAGTTGAAATCTTGGGAGAGTTTCTACAGCCATTTTTGCCTTGTTTGAATCGAGATATATTGCCGTACTAAAAATGCCGACCAATTCTTCGCACACGTACGGTATCCGCGATCGCTCAAACCATTTTTTAACATGTAAACCTATGGGTAACCATGGTTACTGGGATTTAAGAACTATTTTTTAGAACTATTTTCCCGGTAACCATGGTAACTGGGATTTTAGAACTATTTTTTAAAACTATTACCTAGGTTTGGAATTTTACCGGGAATTTTACAGGAATAGTTAAAGATTATGAATGCAATTTCAACCAATCAGATGGCTGGATTTCCCGAGAGCGTATAAAAACAACTATTTCTCGAATATTAAAGCAGTCATTAATACTTTTATATGCCAAAAAAAAAAAAAAAAAAAAAAAACTTTTGTCGAAGATGAGATTCGATCTCTTGCGTACAAAAGGTGATGTAACTAAAATCACCGCCTTAAACCGCTCGGCTATCGCGCTCTGTTACCATACATAGCAGTTTTTTCTTATATATACATTAAAATGGATTGAAAACGGCTTCGCGTGGTGGATGCTTTGCGGCTGCCCCATTAAACAGGCCCTTCTTTTACTTTTACAATGCATATTGGCACGAATTTAGATCAAGATCTATCGGCAGATGTTGTTTTTTTGTTTTTGGAAGTTTATTTTCGTCTTCATGTCAACAATGCAAGATAAAATTGTCCGTAAGATCGATCGAGATTCAATTGTATTGAAATTACCGACCAATTCTTCGCACACGTACGGTATCCTCGATCACTCAGACCATTTTTTAACATGTAAACCTATGGGGTAACCATGGAGACTAAACTATTTTCCCAATAACCATGGTTACTGGGAATTTTACAGAAATAGTTGAAGTTTATGAATGCAATTTCGACCAATCAGATGGCTGGATTTCTTAAGTGAGGTATATAATTGATTTTATCATCTTCTACAACAATTATAACATGTCATATATATGAGCATTCACAAACAATGTAATAAATGCCTAATTTTGCGTGTTATATCTATGGGAGAGGAATGTCAATAGTTTGCGTACAACCCTATGTGAAATCTGATTCTTTGTCGTGTATTAAACCTATATATGGTTAATTAATCTCCCAAGGCTGCTATAATATTGAATCATCCTTTTTCTATGATGATAGTCGTCTTCCCAAACATTTGTCTCATTATTCAGCCCAGTTATATGCAATGTTTACGTCTATCCCACGGACATAGAGTTGTTTACATGTCTATACTTTTCTCTTTCTCTATATTCAATTCTATTTATGCTGGCAATATTGAATGCATCATTCTCCATTGGATCTCTCTCTCTCTCTACTCTTTCACCCTCTCCCTCTCTTGCTCTGTCTTCCTTTTCTCCTCTTGCTCTGTCTCCCTCTGTCTATGCCTCTCTTGCTCTGTCTCCCTCTGTCTATGCCTCTCTATTTCTGTACTCTCTTACCCTCTCCCTTTTTTTTGCCTCTGGCTCTAGTTCTCCCTCTTCAATATCTTAATTATCTCTTGCTCTTCCCTTTGCCCTTTGTATTCTTATTTTACCATTTCCATGCTTACCAGGGAGAGAAACATGTCTATTCATTGTTATTATTATAATCACATAATCATAATTTTCATAATTATTTTCATTATCACCTATATCAATATTTTTTATTTAATCAGCATGATTACTATCATTATCCTCATCATTTTCCAGTCATAAATGTCATCTGTACTATTAAACAACAAAAACGGGACAGAATGAAAATCTATTTAATTCAGAATGTTTCACAAGGTCCGCGGTTCAAGTCCCGCCGCGGCACTAATGTCCTTTGGCAAGACATTGATCTACATTTGCCACTCTCCACCCAGGTGTTAAAATGGGTACCCGGTAGGATGCGAAAGCTAATGTGGTTTGATTAGCAAGTGGCGCTTGTAAAATGGCGACTGGCTGGAATGCTCCCCAGGGAGTGGAGAATGTGCATACCTTGTGTGCGGGTAAGCCTGAATCCGATGACCGGGGTAATAATAATATGTTGTAAAGCGCTGTGATACACATGTATGTCTGTAAGAGCGCTATATAAATGCCAATATTATTATTATTATTATTAATATATCTCACACTATGCTACAAATTTTCTCACTCGTCATGATTTATTTCTTTGTGTATCTTTCAGCAATACTCCAATTCCTATGACTGTTTCATGAGAGGAGAAGAAATCATGTCTGGTGCTCAGCGAGTTCACGATTCAAAGTTCCTCCTGGAGAGAGCCAAGCACCATAACATTGGTAAAGTTATCTGGTTTTTGGATTTGAGGAAAACCTGATAAATTAAGTTAGTGATTAGTGCAACTAAATCCTAATTGCTTTGTGGTAAATAAAAAAAAATAAAAAAAAGGTATATTTAAATACATATTTCATGAGGAAATTGATATAATACATAAGTTTTGATGCTCTTTAAACTTTGTAGCAGCATGCACTTTTGTGGTTATGATGTTAGAGTTCCTTATACAATATACATAACGTATTTGCCGGCGATAAGGCCGCACCCCAACTTTGACCTTTCAAAAAAGGGAGGAAAAAAAAGAAAAAAAAGGGGAAAAAAACAAACGGACACAACAAAATAATCATAATTTTCTCGAAAACACTATTTTTTTTTACAAACTGATACCAAATTCATCCATATTCTTATAATTTACCGGAAGTTTAGCTAAAAAAGGGATTGCAGGCAGATTTGGTGTCCGATATACCCCTACCACAATGTACGGTGTAATGCGAAACTGCATGAAATGGAAAAACAAAATGGCGACTTCGGATGGATGTTCGCGGCAGCTCCGTTAGACTGTCCCTTCCTTTACTTTTGCAATGCATTGGCACGAACTTAGATCAAGATCTATCGGCAAATGTTGTGTTACAACATTTTCATGTTTTCGTCTTCATGTCAACAATGCAAGATAAAATTGTCGGTAAGATGTTTGGAAATGTCCTGTACCATAGTGGTATTGTTATTTTACCGTTTCTAGTCCCAAACGTGCAAATTCGTGTTGGTTTTGGCTTTCGTTTTTTTTTTATGCCTCCGCCACCGAAGGTGGTGCCGGAGGCATCATGTTTTCGGGTTGTCCGTCCGTCCGTCCGTACGTCCGTCCCGTTTGACCGTTATCACAATATCTCAAGAACCATTTAAGATTTAAACTTAAGACTCGGGAATAGTATTTATCACCATAGGAAGACGATCTGATTAGATTTTGGAGTACGTAGGTCAAAGGTCACAGGTCACAGAGGTCAACTTACGAAATTCCTTGTATTGAGTTTGTTAGCGCGATATCTCAAGAACCATTTGAGATTTAAACTTCAAACTTAAGGATAGTATGTATCACCATAGGAAGACGATCTGATTAGATTTTGGAGCACGTATGTCAAAGGTCAAGGGTCACAGAGGTCAACTTATGAAATTCCATACATTGAGATTGTTATCATGATATCTCAAGAACCACTGGAGATTTAAACTTCAAACTTAGTGATAGTGTGTATCACTATAGGAAAACAATCTGATTACATTTTGGAGCACGTAGGTCAAAGGTCAAGGGTCATAGAGGTCAACTTATGAAATTCCATACATTGAGATTGTTATCATGATATCTCAAGAACCACTGGAGATGTAAAAACTTCAAACTTAAGGATAGTATGTATCACCATAGGAAGACGATCTGATTAGATTTTGGAGCACGTAGGTCAAAGGTCAAGGGTCATAGAGGTCAACTTATGAAATTCCATACATTGAGATTGTTATCATAATATCTCAAGAACCACTGGAGATTTAAACTTCAAACTTAATAATAGTGTGTATCACCATAGGAAGACAATCTGATTAGATTTTGGAGCACGTAGGTCAAAGGTCAAGGGTCACAGAGGTCAACTTATGAAATTCCATACATTGAGATCGTTATCGCGATATCTCAAGAACCACTGGAGAATTTTCACTTCAAACTGAATGATAGTATGTATCACCATATCATAATATCTCAAGAACCACTGGAGATTTAAACTTCAAACTTAATGATAGTGTGTATCACCATAGGAAGACAATCTGGTTAGATTTTGGAGCACGTAGGTCAAAGGTCAAGGGTCACAGAGGTCAACTTATGAAATTCCATACATTGAGATTGTTATCATGATATCTCAAGAACCACTGGAGATTTAAACTCCAAACTTGTTTAAATTGCTCTATGGCGGAGGCATCATTTTCGACTGCACGCAGTCAAAATTCCATCTAGTTTTTTACTCTTTCGTCTTTTCGTCCCAAAATACTGCGGCCTTTACGCCGGCAAATACGGTAATGAAAACTTTTGCCCGAAATTGGACATTAAATCCCATGCCTCACGAAACACACACTTACCAGCTCCCATGTGGCCTTTGTTTGCATGCCTTTGTTTGCGAGAAACAAAAACAATGTTGCAGCCCTGGCTCAGGGTGCTATCTTTCTACACAAAATAGGGGACATGTATTTTACTATTAAAGAATACCTCAATATCAAACATTCATTCACCCTTGATAGTTACAATGAGGTGTCAATTAATAGCATCCAACTACTAGGTCAGTGTTATTTTTGATGAAAATCACAAGTAGGAACGAACAACACAAATCACGGCACAATGCACGTGAAACCGTGCGTCCTTATTTGGTTAAATGGACTTCAGTGATTATTTGTGAATGAATCTATGACGTCACAGCCTCAGATCTCTCTGATGTGACATAAATTTTAATGGGACTACAATTTTCAAACAAAAAACACGACGACCATATGCAACCCACGATGGTGAATGTTATATATCGATGGAAAGAAGAAAAACTCAACAATTAGAATCCTTGCTCCCAAAGTGAGACGTTCCCGCGTTTTTGATTAACATAGAGTGAAATACTTTGTAGGCTTTTCCCATAGCGATTGCTCTTTTCTGAATGTGAATGTGTAAGGATGAATTCAAAGCAAGTCGCGACAAAGTTTTAAAATCTGCCGAACCATTCAGAATAATTGCAAAATTTATGTTTGAATTTGTATTTGCTGTTCGCCCCAGATAGATTCTGCCCACAGTAATTGGTGCATAAAGCTTTAAAGAAAAATTGCACCAAAAAATTGAAGGATTTTACATGTTATAACCGCGCACATTCAAGCTGGGAGCGCATGACCCTCAGTTTTCATTATGTGAGGCATATTGCCATGTTTTAAAGCGTATTCAATAAAAGTTATATTGATTATATTAAGCTGTGTGTAGGTCAAGAGACAAGTTAGCATTTGTTGTTTTCTTCCAAAATGCAGATATTGAGAAGATCAAGGCCTACATTGATGCCTTTCGCTATGGAGCGCCTCCACATGCTGGTGGTGGAATAGGTCTGGAGCGTGTCACCATGTTGTACCTTGGTCTGGACAATATCAGGAAGACATCACTCTTCCCTCGTGATCCCAAGCGTCTTACACCATGAGAAAGCACAGTGCTCGCAATTAGTAATTTTTGTACCGGTAGTTTAAATTTTTTATGATTATAATCGACCTGTGATAGTCAGCACTATAGTAGAAACAATTTTGGGGTCTTCTTTAGAAATATGTATCTTTACAAGTAAGTATTTTAGAGTATACAACTTGAATGAGTCATTTTAGTTATTTTATTCAAGTTTTATTTCAGCATCTTACCTCAGGGATGTTAAAGTTTATCTTGAGTTCTGGTGATGATAAGATTACAAACTCACAGTATCAAATGAAAATACAAGACCCCCCAAAATAATGTCTTCCAAATGATTTAGTTCAACAGTGTATAGAGGCTGAGTTGTGAGCACAGGAAGTTGAACAAATCGAGCTCGTATCTCTGACTCCATAAAGTATGATGTCATACATAGAAACATATATGCCTTTCAATGAATGTGAGTTGCTAGAAGGTTTTGATAACTCATATATTGTCTGTTTGTAGCCAGAAGTTAGTTAACTCATATACTTTAACACACAGTTAACGCCCTTTAGCTCTGAACAGATGATGTATTCTGATTATCCAAACAAACCCATCTATGGTATGATAAACAGTTCATAATTTTTCATGTCATTTTCTGTCAAAATATAATTCCACCACTGAAACTCAAGATAAATTCTAAAGAATGTGTAACGATGATAACAAAACAAAATAAAACAAAATTAAGCTCAGCTATAAAGAGATTAATCCAATTCCTCATGGTTTTACTTTTAAAAAATGGAAATGCCTTTCAGTGGTAAATTAAGCAAAATTCTACATCTACCTGTTTATGTTATAACGCATGGTGCAAACAATACGATCACATATGTGATCAGTGTGTAAATAACAAAAAGAGAGAAAGCAAAAGTTTGAATTGATAAATCTCATTCCTTTCCTTCCTTTCTTTTGTCTGTTTTTTATGTTGAGCATTATTTAAAAAAAATATGAAGGAAATGCTCTTTAGCTGAGTAACTATAGTTAGTTTATCTAGAAGTAGTACAAAACTCTCTTTTGTACAATTGATAAATTAGGGTATTATGGCATATGACGACACTGAGGATTAGTGTATAATAAACGGTCGACTTTATGCCATTTCCACCTTCTATAATTGTTTTGTTCCACCTTCTATAATTGGATTTTGATATTGTAAAAGCCTTAAAAGGTGATAAAGAACCTAACAATCATTCTGCTTTTATTTCATCATCTATGTATTCTTTAAATTAAAGATCAATGTCTCTTATCTGCCCAGCAGGTTGTAGAAAACTGTGTGACAGCACTAAGCATACTTTTCATGTAAATTTGTCATACATTTGAATGCCTGTGAGAAGAAAAAAAAATCTCAGGTAGCACTACTTTGGTGAAATCCTCAGCATTCCAAGCCATTACAACAGCTACACTGCACTGTATGGTCTGATACGGAATGAAATTTCTAGGAAATGGCAACTTGGATTGGGGAATTCGAGAATGCAGAAATTTATGTTAGAGTGAACATTGTAATATTGTATAGAGACGATATTTAGTGGAAGCAATAAAAGTTCATTTGTTATGTAGTATAGAATGGACAAGCTTATTATGCTTAAGAATTATAGGACAGTGAGTACATGTATAACAAGCTGACACATATGAAACAATGTTGATAACATCAGAATTAAGCAACTTTATTTTCCTGTGTTTTTTAAATAATTTGTTAAAACAAATAAATAAGGACAAAGGTTAGCAAATCAAATGATAGATATCATCTCCCAGACCTCCTGATAATCCTTAGGAGGTGTTGGATTATTAACTGCAAAAGTAAAATCTTATTTTGTATAATTATGCTCTGTATCATGTAGGTGTTCAACACATGACTTTCATTTATTCCAATTTCCAAATCAAATGATAGATATCCATCTCCCAGACCTCTTGATAATCCTTAGGAGGTGTTGGATTATTAACTGCAAAAGTAAAATCTTATTTTGTATAATTATGCTCTGTATCATGTAGGTGTTCAACACATGACTTTCATTTATTCCAATGTCCAAATCAAATGATAGATATCCATCTCCCAGACCTCTTGATAATCCTTAGGAGGTGTTGGATTATTAACTGCAAAAGTAAAATCTTATTTTGTATAATTATGCTCTGTATCATGTAGGTGTTCAACACATGACTTTCATTTATTCCAATGTCCAAATCAAATGATAGATATCCATCTCCCAGACCTCTTGATAATCCTTAGGAGGTGTTGGATTATTAACTGCAAAAGTAAAATCTTATTTTGTATAACTATGCTCTGTATCATGTAGGTGTTCAACACATGACTTTCATTTATTCCAATTTCCAAATCAAATGATAGATATCCATCTCCCAGACCTCTTGATAATCCTTAGGAGGTGTTGGATTATTAACTGCAAAAGTAAAATCTTATTTTGTATAATTATGCTCTGTATCATGTAGGTGTTCAACACATGACTTTCATTTATTCCAATTTCCAAATCAAATGATAGATATCCATCTCCCAGACCTCTTGATAATCCTTAGGAGGTGTTGGATTATTAACTGCAAAAGTAAAATCTTATTTTGTATAATTATGCTCTGTATCATGTAGGTGTTCAACACATGACTTTCATTTATTCCAATGTCCCCAAAGGTTAAACTCAATGTAACATTTATTTATTCATTGGTGATGGTTAATGCTACCGGTATACATTTATCAAAATTGTTAGTATAAAAGGACTGAAGATCAGTAGAACTGTATTTTAGATGATACAAGGTAATTGTATTATAAATTTACCTTTTTGTTTTAGTAGAGATGAGAATATGTAGCATGGAAAAGTGTGTAGCACCTTGTGAAGAGTAGTTCGTAGTTTTGTTTTGTCTTGTATCAAAGGGTAATTAATAAATAAAAGCAACAGATTCATATATACATGTAGTTAAGACTGTTTTTTATGTTTTACGTTTCTATTGTATTGAAAAATTCCATGTATGTATATTGGAAATGGACATGAAAAAATGATTTATGCAAGGGCCGAGGAAATATATAAATGTGTACCCCAGTAACCCTGAAAACAATAAGCCATTTGTTTTAAGTTAAGCTAACCTACTTGTTAACTTTTAGGAATTTCTGTATAATATATCTATACAGTTAACAACTTACGTATTCATATACCTTACCAAGATTTGTAATTTTAAGTTTGTGGAAACAATTTTGGTACCAATTTATGTTTCTTGATAATGTGATATATTAAAGCTTTTACTTCAAAGAATTCAACAATGGCCCTAATTCAACCAGTCCACCTTTCATTCTAAAGTTGCGAAAAAAACACACACAATATCAAATTATAAGGGGTATGAATAATTTAGTCATTAACTATATGTATAACAAATAAAACAATTGGATGTGAAATATATATATATATATCATATATTCATATTATTTTGAATCTAAATGTGTTTAAATGCCTCCTCCCACCAAAGGTGGTGTCGAAGGGTTATCCGTTCAAGAATCACTTTAGATAAGAACTGCAAACTTGATATTATATATCACCTTAGGAAGACAATCTGATTAGATTTTGGAGTAAATAGGTTCAAGGTCACACAGATCAACTTTAGAAATTCTAGCTATATTAGCCTTGTTATTGCGAAATCTCTAGGACCACTACTGATATAAGGCTCAAACTTGATGATAATATGCATTACCATAGGAAGACAATCTGATTAGATTTGGGATTAATAGGTCAAAGGTCACAGGAGTCAATTAATGAAATTACAGGTTTTAGCCTTGCTATTGTGATTTCTCACCAACCACAAGAAATATGATAATTCCAGTCGCATTTATCTTGTTTAAATGTGCAATCATCCAAGATCAAACTTTGAATCCCGACACGGCACTAATATCCTTTGGCAAGATATTAACCTGCATTTGCTACTCTCCACCCAGGTGTTAAATGGGTACCCGGTAGGATGCGACCGTCATTGTTGGTCAAACAGTTTTTGAGCATCAAGTAACGCCTGGAATGCTCCCCGGGGAGTGGAGATTGTGCACACATTGTGTGCGGGCAAGCACTGTATCCAATGACCGGAGTAATAGTATATTTGTAAAGCATTTAGAGACATTTGTACTAAGCGCTATATAAAAGCTAAATATTATTAATATTATTACTATCGGAGCTCAGAGATATTTCCAAAATTAAATTTGGGAATAGAAGAAATCTATGTCTGGACCGAATTTATTTATCAACACTGTACTGCTGTTTAGCCATATTTGATATGCAATCAACGAAGAATCATTTGAGGAATGATTTTTAAACATGGTACAAGCCAGTTTTTATGTATAAAAAGTTGGGTTAATGGTCACTGGTCTGCAGATGCCTGGTCAGATTGTTACTATATTAGGCATTACTATTGTTCGTTCTCGTCAAACAATTTGGACGTGTTGGAATAATTTGGTTGAATAATTTCTTGTCCTTCATAAAGTCGGTCAAAATACTTCCTTATTTAGAAACCACTATTTACTTCTATTTTCCCATTCTCTGGTCTTCTTTTTCTTAGTCTGTTCTTCTTCTTGTCTTCTGTCTTATTCACCATTGCTCCCTTTGTCATCTCTTCCTTTTTTTCTTTAAAAAAAAAAATCTCTCGTTTTTCATCGTCTTATATACTCATCATCTTATTAAGCTTGTGTGTGATCTCTCCTCATAATCTAGACTTTTTCTTCACCTTTTTTTTCTCTTCACGATCTTTTTGTCGTTATGTCTTTCCTATTGAACGTTGTCCTTTATTGTTGAGATCTTTTCTTCTTTATTCCATGGATCTTTATTTGTAGACTATGGTTTATTCATCGCCATATTCCCACTTTTTGTTTAATCTCGACGGGCTTCTCCATCTCCCATTTTCGGTCTTCATCCTCTTACTTTTCTTCCCCCATTTCTGTTTCCTCCCGTTACCCCTTATTTTTGTTTTACCCGTCGTCATTTTGCATCTGCATTATACCATACACCCGAGTCCAAAGTCAATTGGATAAAAATGGAATAGATTATGATATACTATGCATGATGTTTCATATCTTTATTTTGTTTTAAATTTTTAAAAAAGGGTAGTAACATATACTAAGTGATAGACAACATTTCTAATTACATTAACATCGATTCATATTTTCCATAAATGTAAAAGAAAGAGCAATACATTATCATATTGGTCGACTGGATTCTTACGAACTTTATCGTTAAAGGTAATACAAAGTTTGGTATGGGGTCATGAATTTGGTTCAAATGAAACATATTGGAAGCATATGCGATCCTGCAATATTCAGTGATCGTTGTCGCGGTCGAAATGGAGTCTAAAGTTATGAAATTGTAAATAATAAACTCTTTATGTTGTATAGCTTCCTCTCAAGGTAAGATATTAATTAGCTATAAAAACAATATTTCTTG